CATACACAAGTCCAAGTCCAGTTTGGCCCAAAAAAAAAAAATCAAAAACGAAAAGGATGTTAGGCCCAAATGATCACTAAACGAATGTGTTCTATATATAAATGGGCTTATATATACAGTACTCACTTTAATTAAAAGGGTAGCCTAAATGGAAATTGTCAAGCCCATATTTGACTATTTGTAAACTGTAACCAATAAAGCACACACAAAAGACGTCGTTGGATAAGGTGTATTGTTCTTTACGCATTACGAAATTATTTTGTCGAGGTTTGTAACGTTAGATCAACTATATCTGATGGTTATAAATCTCGACGGAATAGTTCCATAATAGAACCTTAGCATTTCCCTTAACTATTATGAAAGTAGACACGTTCGACTTTATTTTTTTCTATAAATAAAACGCATACTTACATTACAAAATATTAATACTTATCTCAAAGTGGCCTTATATAAATGTTATTAGAGATTAGACTTTTATATGAAACAAGATTTTTTTTTTCTTGTATGTTTTTTTCTCCCTTAACTTGTTCAAGTACTTTTATTTTTTTATTTTTTTATTTTTTTTTTCATTCTTTGCTGATTGGAAACGTTAAACGTAACTATCGGATCAAATAATTTAGGTGTTAAATGTTAATCACATATATATAAAAGCACAAATCAATATATACATTAAAAATACGTTTTTTTTTTTCTTTACTATAATTCTTTTCAAATATTATTCCTCCTAGCCTTTTAGCCTGGACAATTTTTTTCTGCATTAGGCTTTAATATAACTTTTTAAGTTATTTTCATCTAATTTTCAAACAAAGCTAAATTAAATCAAGCATAAAGTTATTAAAAGGGATTTGCATTTAATTTCGTGTCACGTGAATAATATTTTAATTAATTTGACACGCCATGCATGAAATATCTAATTAAGCCCGTGTGGTTTCAATCTTAAATTAATAAAGCTATTTTGTAATAGAAATTTGCGGTTGACAATTATGACATTATGGATATAAGTTATTTTATTTTTTTTTGGTACAATAAAAGAGGCCGAAAGCCTTAAAAAAGCGAAAAATGATTAGGCTAGAACACGTCGGGAGTAAGAGACCCCCATGAGATCATGTTGGAGCCAATTGCCCAAACCAGGAGGGGAAGTGGAACCCGATGAAACCCGACCGCCTCGTACGCCGCACGACTCGCCATATGGTAGTTGCAAAATTTGCTTCTCTATGAACGTGTTGGACTGTGACCCTCCATTCTCGTTCCAAAAGGCTACGAATGACCTTAACCAATGCTAGTTATTAACTTATGAATATTACCACGTTAGTTAATTGATACATGTTTAATTAACAATAGTTAGTACGTAGCACACACATCAATATATTACTCACATTTTTTTTTTTTTTTTAAGAATTAATCTCAGAAACAAATGTGAGACAGTAAAATAGCTAGACGAGGAATTGAACTAGCTAATTTGGTAAAGAGGGTAATTAAGAATGAGTAAATCCAACATAAATTTTTATTTGATACATAGACGGGTCGACACATCATACTATAAAAACAAACAAGGCATACTTATTCCATATATGCCACACTACCAAAAAATTACATGGTCGCATCGTGAACAACGGATATTCCAATAATAAAGTTTCTGTTGAAATATTATATGAAAAAATTCTTATTGAATTATTATTATTTTTATTTTGAAATTTTAGTTGAAATTTAATGATTTCAACAACCATCTTTCCAAAGGTTTATTTCCGTAAGAATTTTCATTGAAATTATTATTTCGCGCCATTATTTCTAACAATTGAAATCATCAAAGTCCAATGAAAAATTTTAATCATTAAGTATAACCATTTTGTCATGTCCATATTTTGGGATGGATCATTCATAAACTTTATTACATAATCCCGATTAAGTATAACTATAAATAATTATTTAAATGTACATTAATTAAGTTAATTAATTAATTTGGAAACTCACTTCCAAGTTCCACCCATTTAGTAAATGGTTCACGAGCGAGAACAAGTGTGACATTAATTAATTGTGTTAAAACTTAAAACCAAGCTTGTTAATAAAAAATATTAGTAATTAATTAATTAATTAATCATATTTTAGTCTTTTAGTGACTCAATTAATAAAAAATTATCGTGTGGCACGCTTGTCTTTAGTTACTCAAGTATTGGGCCCCTATCGGCCACATTTTAGTTTTTATCAAGAAGATAATTAATGATAGAAAAAAAAGTTAAGCTTCTGTTAATTATAATGATTTATAATTAAGCATCTTTAATTTAACATGCACCATCAAATCACTAATTAATGACACTGAGGACAGTTTAATCTATCATACTCGAAAGTGATAAGAATGTTCTTTATTACACGAGCACTGACGTAATGCTTATGCCGATCGATTTATCAAATGTAATTATCTGTTATATTATTCAATTCACAATTTATTGCTCAATTGTCTCATTACAGAACTATTACGTCGGGAATTTGTAACCGTTAAATCATCATGTAACCATTATGGATAGATGATATAACGGTTACAAACTCCGACGGAATAGTTTCGTAACGAGACCGTAGAATTTCCCTTATTATACATAGAGATATATATATTACTATTATTTGGGATTTGGGGACACTTATTATTGTAAATTTCACCATGTTTTTTTTGAAGTGGGTACTCAATATAAGTTAACTTAATATGTAATTTTTAAAAATTTGATTATGGAAGATGTGTGCCTTCAATATGTCCAACAACCCAAGACTGTTTGGATCAGATGAGTTGAGTCTCTTCCACCTTAATCAGTGGTCTCGTGTTCGAGCCCTGGGAATGCAACAGTGTTAAAATTCTTGAGGGAGAGTTTTGTCGCCCTTGTGGTCCTACCCGGCTCGAGTCCGGATTAGTCGGTTCCCTGTGGATCCGGAAACCGGAAGGTACCTATACCAAAAAAAAAATAAAAAAAATATGTCCAACATATTATACTTTTTTTAATTATATATCATTAATATTATTAAGAATACAACTATACAAGTTTGAAATTGGGATGCACAAACCATATTCTGTTACATATATCACATAAATTACCAATTTTGTATTATCAAATTAATTGACTTTGGTTGTCCTTAATTTGTGACACACTAATTCATGTTTGCTTAATTAATTATTTCTTCGTGTTCACGGATTGGCCTTGAGCCTCTCTGCCTTATCTCTTTCTGCATATATATATGGACCACCAATTTCATGACCATAAAGCATTATAAGAAAGTCGTGTTAATTAAGCAATTACTTGAGGATCGACTCCTTGTGTACAGTAGTTGAGGGTATTAGTTACCTGAGAGCCATTGCGTGACTAATGTGATTTAACTGGAAGCAGTTTTTGAAGGGCCGAAATTATTTACTCGAGGACCTAGTCAGGCGCAAGTCTGGAACCTCGATATAAAAAAAAAATCGTGTTAATTATATATTTATTGCTCATCATCATCATTTTTTTCTACTACTTTCGTAACTTAATCATGCTTTTTTTTGTTTAATGGTTCCAACATCAAATACTGTTTATATTGTGATCCTAGTAATAATAACAACAACAACGATAACAAGTCATTTTTTTATAGGGTTAGTTTTATCTCATTTTTATCAAATTAATTTTAGAAATGAAAATATATGCACGTCAACACGTGAAGGGATATCACCGGTGATTTCTATGTTACATCGATTAAATAGAGAAAAAAAAAAAACGAGTCTACTCAAGATAATTCTCATATCAAAATAATACTTATTGATTGATTTTGACATAAGATCTTACTAAAGTGGCAATTAAGCTCGATTTCTAATATGGTATCAGAGCAAATTAACCTAAAGTAGTATATGTGATGACTTAATTTATTAGCCGGGTTTTATATGTGACGCTTAAATAAGGATTAATAAATGAGAAGTTATATTGAACAGTTTTGAGTTGTCTCATATTGATTAATAATTTGGACAAATGTTGCGGTCTCGTTATTGAACTATTCCGTCGTGATTCGTAACCGTTAGATCATCAGTAATCGTTGAGAATAGTTGATCTAACAGTTACAGACCTGAATGGTTCTGTAACGAGCATCTCCCAATAATTTGAGTGCTTGCAATTGAATTAATCAATGTTTAACAATAAAAAATTGTTTTAAATCTAATTGTATACAACTGGAAGCACTAGATTGGGTGCACGAAATGATTGGAGGAGCACAAAATATGAACCCATTAATATTGGATACGAGAATTTTTTAAATAATACTTGTTTGAAACTTTGAATTAATTAAGGCCCAAATTCTGTTTAAAATAAAATAAAATGGCATACTTTAAAAAATTAACATATATATTATTATAACAGTGTATTTATATTGAAAAATTATGATAAATATTATGTACTATAAGTTATATTCAGTCAACTTGTGACTTTTCAAAGGATCAAAAGTAGCCGACAACAATGGAGTTTGAAAAGGTAAAAAGGAAAAGTCGTGTTTATTACGTCCGCGCTTTATTTTTTATTTCCTTATCGGGCTAAAAAGAAAATGAATAATACAAAAAAAAAAAAAAGACAAAGAAAGTCAAGAAAAGTTTATATTTTTGATTTTACACCCTCATCTTAAATTCAACAAACCAACTGAAAATAAAAAATAAATAAATAAACAGCTTACTGTAATTAAACTAGTGTTCTCGGTTTTTCTATGAAACCAACAGTTGATACAAACTTTCAAATTATCCAACATTTATCTCACTGTAAATTAATAAAATAATAGTAATAATAATAATTACATAGTAATTATGGAACATATAAAAAAAGTAGCACATGAGATGTGATGTGATCCCCCTACTCTAATACAATTTTTGCTCTATAACATATCTCTCTCTATAGTCTATACACTTCAATGTATATCTATAAAAGAAACACAAAATTTGTCAAGAAATGTATCAAAAAAATAAAATAAAATAATAAAATCCAACCAAAATATAAATACTTAGGTTATCATCAATTTCCGGTGCCGGGGCTCGGCGTGCTCGTTTCTAAGATCCGGTCGACATCGATGAGGTGGCGTCGGGTCACCAACTTCTCGTCGGCAGTAAACGAGTGGCCCTTCTTGCTTGGGGTCGATGCCGGCACATTCCCCTTGGGAAGTGCCGCCAGATATAACCGGTCGGACAATGTCGGGCTGGGTTTTCTTCCTGGGCCCATTGAAAGTTTCCGCGCGCTCGTCAAATCCGAAGACACGACGATCAAGAGGATCAAGAAGACTAGAAGTTTTGGAGCCATATTAGTTTTGAGAGTTCTAAGAGAGGGATAAGAGTGTTTTGTAGAGAAGTAGCTAGAGATGGAGATTTTGTGGGTGAGTTTTGAACTTTTGAGTGGTTTCTTTTGGGTCTTGAAAGTGTAATATATACACAAGTGGTGTTTGCTGTTTAGTTAGGATTTAGAAAGGGTTTTTTGGACTTGGGGCTCAAGTTAGGTGAGCCAAAGTCAAATTTTGAAGTCTTATTTTCTACATGTGAATGTTGAAGGTGCAGAGGATTTTCGTGGAAAAGGAATTAAATAAATTAAAAAAAAAAATATGGACATGTATTCAATTGAGTTTTTTGTTATGTGTTTAGTATATTGCAAGTAACACATTTCGTCACGAGGGTTTATTTGGCTTGCCTAGTTAATCTTTGCAAAACATCTCATATATACAAATCAGAAATTCTAGAGAGCCAACGAATAATTTTTTAAGAGCATTCACAATGTTTCGAGTCTTAAATTCTGTATGCAGAGAAATAGAAAGAAAAAATGGATCATACTCACCCCAATGCAATATTTTAAAATTGGATCCAAAATGATGTGAATTCTGAAGCAATATGAGTTTATTAAATTAATATATTTTCATGTCTTAAAATGGACTAATTTGTCCGTTGCAAATGGAGCTGGAAGAATTCTTGTTGACAATTTTCCTAGCATAGTGCTAATAATGGACTAGATCAAAATGGCTCAATTAAATTCTAGTGCTTCTTCTATTAGTGAAGTTTCTAGAAAAAATATATCAAACGACGCAATGCACCTTGGGTCGCTACGGAAACAGCCTCCTTGTATAATTACAAGGGTAAGGTCTGCGTACAACTGACCCCCTCAGACCCCAACCTGTTGAGAATATACTGGATATGGGTATGTTGTTGTAAAATGGACTAAGGTGGAGACCTAATTATTTACTTTTTTTATATGACACAAACTTTTTTTTTTTTTTTTTGTACAGCGACCTTCCGGTTTCCGGATCCACTAGGGAACCGACTAATCCAAACTTTTTTTGACACAAACTTTTTTTAACACAACACTCTACAATATTTTATATATCAACTAGACTAAAAGCATTGGGTCTTTCATTACCTTTTTGGGGTCCAGTAGTCTGTATCTTTTGCACATTTGTGCTTTTTAATAGAACATCTATCGTCCCGGAAAACTAGACTAAAAGCATTGAATATACTTATATGCCATATATGTCTGATGTATTTATTTTTACGACTACCAATATACGATTTGTGAATTTCATCAAAGGATGTCGTTTTTTGTATTATTTAATTGGTCGAGTATAGTCGGACATTTTCCTAGTCGGTACGGTATTCTTTTTCAAACTACATATTTAAAAATAATTTTAAATTACAATAACCTATTTGAAAAAACTCGTATGGTGAGTTTTATTTATTTATTTTTTATTTATTTTTTTTCACTTGTGTACAATTTATATGTGAATATATTAGTCAAAGCTCTTTGCATTTGAGAAAAAAATATAATTTGTTATACCACAAATACTTGAACTGTTGGATCGCTCCTCTCGAACCGGGTTGCGTCTCCTCGATCGTCGGTACCTGCAAAGCACGCCGGGGGTGGCCCCGACGCGAACACTCCGACGCTCAAGTCAGTGACGGTCTAGAGAGAAAACAACAGAGTAATGAGATAGCTCGTGTATGTGTGTTGTGTAAAATGAATGAACCTGCTCCTTTTATAGAAGAAATTTGGAGAGTCCTCATGAGACAAGAAGTCTTCTTCATGTATATCTCTTAATTAGGTCAAAAGATCATACATCCATAGAGTCCATGAAGTTGTGAACCTCTTTATGACTTGAGTACACGAGGGTGCCGCGCACTTGAGAGTGCCGCGCACTTGGGGGTGCCGCGCACTTGGGAGTGCCGCGCACTTGAGGGTGCCGCGC